ATATATAATTATTGACCCTTGAACAATGCAGGCATGAGGAGCACCAACTCCAGCAAGGTCAAACCTTTGTGTGTCACTTTGGACTCCCCCAAAACTTAACTACCAATAGCCTCCTGTTGACCCAAAGCCTCACTGATAGCATAAAGAATCAGCACATATTTTGTATATTATATGTGTTAATACTGTATTCTTACAATAAAGCAAGCTAGACAAATGAAAATGTTATTAAGAAAATCATAAGAAAGAGAAAATGCACTTATAATACTGTATTTTTCAATATATTTATGGAAAAAATTCATTTATAAGTGACTAGTTTGACCCTGAACAATTCAAACCCATGTTGTACACGGATCAGCTACATAGGTACTGTATATATCTATATAGATATTTAAGTATATTCTTTTTCTGTGACGTATCTTTGCCAGTTTTAATCCTAGCTGGTAAAAGGAATCAATTGCATGTGTATCTGACTTTGAGTCAAGAGGCCGCCAACAAATGAATAAATAAATAAATAAATGCCTAGTAATGGACATCGTTCGAGACTCTCTTTCGCACCAGAAACAGAGCATGCGTCACCCTGCTATGCTGCACCTCTCTGAGAGATAAAGTACACATTTCTTTCTGCCATTCAAAACTCTCTCTCAATAAACTGCTCCGTTCATCTCCTCACCTACTGCTCTACTGTGTAAGCCCACACTTTGTGGTGATCAGTCTTATTTTACTTTTTACATTTGACTTTAAATACATTTACTCCCAACTGACTACCTTTACTCATAGTACTTCCTCCCAAATCAACTGTGACAACCCAGTGCCATTTGCAATATGGAATAAACACGTCCTCAACATATTTCTATTTGCTAACAGAGCATGTCACCGCAGGGCAGCGTGGGCCTCTCAGATGTCTATAGGGCAAAGTCTCATTCAGAAAAGGATACAGAGAACAAATTCCATGTTTTTACCCAGATTCTATACTGAAATAGGCCATCATCTGAGAGGCCAATATACTTCAAATGAGAATATACCCCTGAGTTATTCATGGCCACTTTACAATGAAATTAAGTGTCTAAAAAGATGGGCCTGCTGGTGCTAAGCAACAAAATGGTCTAGCACAGTGTTCCTCAATTATTCCCAGCAATATTGTTTGGCAACAGGCCCATCATGAGAACATGAGAATTGAGGGGGGCAATATTTCTTTAAATTCAATTTTAATGTTAAAAATTATCATAAATTATACTTTTGTAGTGTGTTTGCTTGTTTGTTTGTTTGTTTTAACCAGAAATCAAATGCAGGCCTCCTTTGTGACCTCAGCAGTGTCCAGCACATGCTATCACAACTGGGCCCACAGTACTTCCCAATGCATAACTCATACATATTTTATATAACACAAAATTGTCTTTGTAAGTAAAAGTGACCTTCTAGGAAGATATTTAATCAGGGACTTTATCCCATAGCACCAAAAGCACATACTTTTGTCAAGAAACATAAATTGGGACCAGCAAATTGTGTAATGGTTATGTTGCTGGACTGCCACATAATCTACCATGGTTCAAGTCCTGGACTTGGAGTCTTAAAACTCACACCAGGTGCATGTGTGTGTGTACCCAAGATTCCAAGAGGAGAATGGAGGAGAAGGGATTGTGGCCTGGCCATCCCCCAGGGGGTGATTTCTCACTTTCTGTCCCTCTATCTCTTTCTGTCTCTCCAGCGAGCACACATGCCTTGTAACAAAAATCTCTCTAAAATAAAAAGAAAGAAAGAAAGAAAGAAAGAAAGAAAGAAAGAAAGAAAGAAAGAAAGAAAGAGAGAGAGAAAGAGAGAAAGAGAGAGAGAGAAAGAGAGAGAGAGAAAGAAAGAGAGAAAGAGCGAGAGCGAGAGAGAGAGAGAGAAAGAAAGAGAGAAAGAAAGAAAGAGAGAAACATAAGGAAACTATGGGGTGTTTTAAGAGTTCCAGTAACACACTATTTTTAATCATCTCTGTAGATCGATTTATCAAATACACCAAGGGAAATCCCTTCTTTTGGGGAGCTTGGTTTTTCCTTTCCTCCCCTTCAATAAATTTCTCACTTTGTTAAACCTAAGGGGGGAAAAAAAGAAACCCCCAGGCAAGAATAACAAGGTCCCTTGAGACAACAAGGAAAGTTACTGGGTCACACAAAGAAAGATCTGAGAATTCTCAACAGTGACTACAACGAGGCATAAATTAGAGCCAACCCATAGTTCCAATATATTCAGTAAGAAATTGTTCATCAGAATGTTAGGTTGCAACAGCAGTGCAATAAGCCATGCAGTTAGTTCTCACTGGACTGCTTCGTTAAAGCCAAAGAATCCCTGTACTGTCTCCAGAATGATCTAGGAATGTCTTACAGGGTGAAGGGAAGTCTTCTCTGATGGGTATTGCTGCTATTATGAACCAGAGGTGGGTCTATTCACCTATATATTTAATTTAATATGCTCAAGAGAATAAATAATAAATAATATTGGTTTCTCTTTCAGCTCAAGAACAAAAAAGAAAGAAAGAAAGAAAGTAAAAAATCTTTCAGAATGCTAAAGATGACCATGGAATTCATGGTAAAAATAATTCATTACCATGGAATTATGCTCCAAAATAAGTGCACTGAACGATGCCAAAGTCATCCACAGGTCTTCTCTCAGAAAGTGACTGAGGCACCAGCAACAGTCCAGCTTTTATAGAGATTTTGAGCGAAACAGTGTGGAACTACACTATTCCCTAGAACCGAAACCAAGAGAAACATTTTTTTTTCTTTTTTCTCCTCTTTCAAGTCTTCCCTCTCTATTCATCCCATTACTCAGCTGCACCTGCAGGAGATGAAGCATTTTAAAAAAAGAAAAAAAAAAGATAAAATTAGTATGTATGAGGATTAAGATATTACGTAAAATTTAATGGTGAATATATTTGGAACTGCTTCTTATAATTCTTTGGAATTCTCTGAAACATACACCATGCTTTGTCCTACACTAATAGTTTCTTCTGCAGTTTTTATTTGGGTTTGTTTTCAATATGTTTGTTGTTTTTAATATTGACAAGAGTAGTATTAGCTCAACACATGGAGTGCAGTCTCCTTGTGCATTTTGATCTGGGGTCAGTCTGTGAATCTGAGTCCAGAATCAGTGTTGCTGCTGCTCCATGGCTGCTCCCTGCATCACTGCTTTCTCATTCCATTGAGGAGAAAATGTAGAGGTCCCAAGATAAGGAAATTTCTTTCATGATGGCTCACCAAGATGACCATCCGTGCATTAGTTTAGCTCTTCATAGTCATCCTAGTTTTTTCAAAGTTAGAAATCATTGATTGTCATCTTGCAGATTTCTTCTTTTTTTTCTTTTTTTTGGGGGGGCGGGGGGAGGGGAGAGGCTTTTTTGCTATAGGGCATGTGGGCTCACCAGAAGACAGAAAGAGACAGAGAGACAGACAGACAGAAAGAAAGAAATCGCCCTCCAGAGGAGATGGTCACGCTGCAATCCCTTCTCCATTCTCTTCTCGGTATCTTGGGCATGCACGCACATGTGCCCGGCATGAGTTTAAGCCACCGGATCTGGAACTCGAACCGCAGTCGACTACATGGGAGTCCAGCAACATAGCCATTACACTAACTGCTGGTCCCTAGATTCCTTCTCTTCTTGTCTGCCAGACTACAATCTATTTTGACATAACTAGCACAACAGGAAAGTTATGTTCATTTCTAGATGAGCAGATTCATAGTTTACTTTATATATTACTAACTTGCTGTGTCTACAATAGTTGCATAAACATAAACATATTTATCTTATTTAATATAACTTCACTGAATAGAAATGTGTTTTCCTCTTTAATTATGTTCAATGAGTAATATGCATAAGTGTATATACATACGTAAATGCATTACAGAGAGAGAGAAACTTTGATCAAAAAACAGTTTAAGGCAAAAATCTCTTATCAATCAAAAAAGTTAAAAGCATATTGTTAAAGTTTTTCTAGAGATGCCAAAATATTAAAGCTATCATTGTGCTTTTCCTTTAAGTTGCATTTGACCGTTGAAACTATATCTTCTTTGGTGATAGTATTCTAAAGAAAGAAAGGGCAAATTTTAGAATGTGGGTAAATGATTATGTTTTGAAATAATATTTTAGATTTTCTTTTAACTTGCTATTTTGAAGACTAGGGACTATTTTCTAAATGGACTAAAGTACAATATTCCAAATATTGAATTTTATGGGAAAATTCTGGAAGCAGTAAGAACTTTAGAATTTCTTGCTGATTATAATTTTCTTACCCAACATGTCTCATATGTTATATTCATCTTTAATGAAATGTCTTTTTTAAAATATTATAAATTATCATATGAAGTTATCCACAGTGAATGAATAATAGTGACTTTTCACAAGTAAAGTAAAAGTAAAAGCAAAGGAATAAATACCAAATTTAAATGAACTATAGTACAATATGAATGTCTTTAAATAGGAAACAGCAAAACGTATAAAGAATTTTATCATCTGAATATTACTATTTTCTTCTAGTATCAGTTTAAAAAAGAAAATAGTGAAGCCAGGAGGATGCATGGTTGTTAAGATACTGTACTCCCACATGGCCAACCGCAGTTCGAGTCCCAGACCTGAGGTTGCTTTCTCATGTCCTCTCTCTCTCTCTCTCTCTCTCTCTCTCTCAAATAAAATTTTTTTTTAAATTACTGCAAACATGACTTCGTATTTTTAAGTGAATAGTAATAGTTGCTCTATGTGAACAGCTTTCACTAGACAAATTGAGTATAAAACAAATGATTTTGCTTCTATTTCAAGATTTCCTTATATCAAAAAAAGAAATTTAACTGAATTTTATCCACTATTACAGAAAATTCAAACAGCCTAGCACTTACAAGGAATCAAGGCCAAAAAACTCATAATCAGACAGGATTTGTTCAAGACTTGTCTTATAATATCCAGTACATTTACCTGCATGAATCAAACCTCCTCAGCAGCAAAGTAAATACTCATCTGTCTTCTCTCCACAGTCTGGGGATCATGAATAACTCAAGAATATCTACTGTGACTCAGTTTGTCTTATTGGGCTTTCCTGGCCCCTGGAAAATGCAGATCATCCTTTTCTCAATGATTTTCTTGGTGTATGTTTTGACTCTGACTGGGAATCTGGCCATCATTTGTGCAGTGAGGTGGGACCACCGAATCCACACACCTATGTACATGCTCCTGGCCAACTTCTCCTTCCTAGAGATCTGGTATGTGACCTGCACAGTTCCCAATATGCTGGTCAATTTCCTGTCCAAAACTAAGACAATATCCTTCTCTGGCTGCTTCGCTCAGTTCTACTTCTTCTTCTCCCTGGGCACAACTGAGTGCTTCTTCCTCTGTGTCATGGCTTATGATCGGTACCTGGCCATCTGTCGTCCACTTCATTATCCCTCCATCATGACTGGCCATCTCTGTGGCCTTTTGGTGTCTCTTTGTTGGATCATTGGTTTCCTTGGACACTCTGTTACCATTTTCATTATTTCTCAACTGCCCTTTTGTGGTCCCAACATCATTGACCATTTTCTCTGTGATGTGGACCCACTTATAGCATTGTCCTGTGCCCCCACAGCCACCATAGAGCATGCATTCCATTCTATGAGCTCTCTTATCATCATTCTCACTGTTTTGTACATCCTTGGGTCCTATACTCTTGTGCTTAGAGCTGTACTTCAGGTTCCTTCTTCAGCTGGACGTCAAAAGGCCTTCTCCACCTGTGGATCCCACTTGGTTGTGGTGTCTCTATTCTATGGAACTATAATGGTGATGTATGTGAGTCCCACTTCTGGTAACTCAGTTACTATGCACAAGATCATCACTCTGATTTACTCAGTGATAACACCAGTCTTAAACCCTCTCATCTACAGCCTTCGCAATAAGGATATGCAATATGCCCTTCATCATGTCTTTTGTAGAATACGGATTATCTGGAGCTTATGAATAGGTTTTTTACAACCTGTTTACTCTCTTTCTACAAGTGAAAGAATAAACCTCTTCTTCCAAACAACCTGACTTGGCTTTATTCATAAATATCATAGTCCTTTAGTTCAAAGCAAAATTCATCATATATTTCTGATATTTTAATAAACATTTACATTCAGAAATATATTCCATTGGAAGAGATTGGCCCTAAACATGTGAAAAAAATAACTTTTAAAAATCCTAATAGTTACTGCCAAGAAGGTTTTGGCTTTTTCAAAGTGGTTATTTGCTTACATACTTATCTACCATTTCTTTTAAAAGACAAATAACGATTTGCCTGTTGTCCTGGATTTTTGGCAACATATCATTATTGGATAAACTAAGAGATTGTGAAACCAGCCTTATAATTCTTAATTCAGCACTTTCATCAACTACATACAAAGGATAGCTGAAAGTTAGATTGAAGCCATGAGAAAAAATTAATTTTTTGGTGGAAGTGAAAGCGGTTCTTGTGCAATTCCCCTAAGTGAGTTCAGGAGTACATCATGAGAACCACCGAGAGGGCTTGATCTTCTTCCCTAGAGTTTGACATCAGATATATCCTTTGTTGTTGTCATTTGTTTTTGTTTTGCTTTGCTTTTGTTTGTTTTTATATTTTTATTTCAATTTCTTTTATACATTCAATCACGTTACTAAACTTGTGATTGCAAAGTGAATAATCCAATATGCGTACATTTCTCACCAGACCAGTTGAGAATACTATACACGTTATCTTCAACAGAAAATAACCCATTTCTTTTTCCCATATATGCCTTGCCTCTCTATTTTTCTCCTTAATGTCCTTTCTCAGACAGTACTCCTTCACCCGCCCTCTTCCCATACTGTATGTGGTATTTATAACCATTTACTATGTTGCTATATCCTTTAGTCATTCAGTTTCAGCAGTAGAGTGAGGACACTCAGTATATATTAAGTGGAGACATACAATATCTCTTTCATAGCCTGGTTTGCTTCACTCAGCAGTAAATCTTCCATATTCGTACACTTTCTGTCAAAATCCAGGGTCTTGTTTTTCGTGGCCAAGTAGTATTCCATAGAGTATATTTGCCACACTTTTTCAATCAATTCATCTGTTTGTGGGCATTTGGGCTGGTTCCAAGTCTTAGCAATTGTGAATAATGCCACAATAAACATTGATGTGCAAGCACTTTTCTGACTAAGGATTCTTCTGTCTTTGGGTGGATACCAAGGAGTGGGATTGCTAGATCATATGGCAGTTCTATTTGTAGAACTTTGAGGAATCTCCATATTGTTCTCCACAGGGGCTTGACCAATTTACATTCCCACCAGCAGTGTAGGAGAATTCCCCTTTAAAGACACCCCCACCAACACTTTGGATTTTTGCTTTTGTTTTTGGTTTGTTTTTTTTTTCTTAGTCATTCTGACTGGGATTAAGTGATATGTAATTGTGGTTTTGATCTGAATCTCCCTTATAATGAGGGATGCTGAGCATATTTTCATATGCCTTTTGGCTATTTGAATGTCATCCTTAGAAAGTAGTTTTTTCAACTCATTCTCCCATTTTTTAACACGGTTGATCATCTTTTTTTCAGGACAGCTGCTTGAATTCCCTGTATATTCTGGTTATCAGTTCTTTAGCTGACATAGTTTACAAAAATATTTTCCCACTCTGAGAGTTGTCAATTCACACTAATTACTGTGTCTTGTGCCATGCAGAAACTTCTTAATCTGCTGTAACCTCACTTGTCTATTGTTGGGGTTATTGATTTTGCTTTGGGAGCCTTATTTAATAAGTCTTTGCCTACCCCAATGCTCCCAGAGTTTCCCCAGTGTTATCCAGCAGCAGTTTTATAGTTTGAGATCTTAGGATTAGATCTTTGATCCACTTTGTATTTCTACTATATCTGTTGTTGTTGTTTTTTTTAAGGTTCAGTTTTTTTTT